ACACACACACACACACACACACACACACACACACAAAACCCCTAGTACAAGAACAAATTATTTATGAAACAGCTTGGTTTCACCCTCTGCAGAATGGACTTGTTTGTTCACTTAGCAGTCCATGGTATGTTCTGTACTCTTCTCCAGTAGCACAACTCAAAGGCACCAATTCTTCTTTATTGTGAAGACCATGGCCTGGGTCAGATGCACCTTAGTCTCTAGACTGACATCACTGCTCTGTAGTACTGTGGAGAGGTCCCTGACAGCAGATTTTCCCAATGTAATTAATCTTTTGATTTACTGGCTGCTGGTACCAAGAGTGTTGATTGAAGAGCCAAGCAAGCTGAAACTGTTAATAATCTTAGCCTCTTCATTGTCCTTCATGATGCTGGCAAATGTCTCTGTGGTGGGAATCTTTGTTTTCTTGATGTTGGGCTTCAATACCTCAGGTCCTCCTCAGTTTTGGCAAGCTAAGGCTGTGTTGTCTGTATAACACATGTTGATGAGACTTCCTCCAATCCTCCTGGATGATCTCTTCCACATATAGATTGAAAAGGTACACTTTTCCTGATTTTGAACTGTGCAGTATTTCCTTGCTCTGTTCTGAGGACTGCCTTCTGGTCCAAGTATAGGTTCACATAGGCACAATCTTGTGTGCTGGGATTCCCATTCTTCTCAGAGTTAGCAACAGTTTGTTGTGATTCACACAGTCAGATGGCTTTGCATTTTCAATGAAACACATATATACATACTTCTGTACTCTGCTTTCAGCTAAGATCCATCTAACATTGGCTAGAATGTCCCTAAGTGTCCTGACTTTTCTAAACCCAGCCTGCACATCTGGCAGTTCTCTGTTGATGTGCTGTTCTAGTCGTTTTGGATAATTATCAGCTGAATCTTGCTTGCATATGATATTAATGATATTATTCCATAATTTCCACACTCTGTTTGTGGATCACCTTTTTTTGGAATGGGAATAAATACGGATTTCTTCCAGTCGGTTGGCCAGGTGGGTGTCCTCCTGTTTTTTTTACACAATCTGGTGAATACATCCAGGGTGGCATTTGTTTGCTGTCAATTCCTGGGGCATTGCTTTTTGCCAATTTCGTCAGAGCAGCTTGAACTTCCTCCTTTATTATCATAGGCTCTTGTTCATATGTTGTTTCATTAAAATTTTCTCTATCAAGCCAATTCTTTTTTGTATCGTGACACTGTGTACTCCTTCCATCTCGGAGTGACTCCTGTAAACAACAGATCTGAACTCCGCCTATGCTATGCCATCCTTGCAATCTCTGACACACTTAAGCCTATTGCTGCCATCACTGTGTCAGTCCACTTGGTTGAGGATTTTTCCTCTCTTTTGCTGTCCTTCCACCTTTGCAAGCATAATGTCCCATTCCAAGGAATAGCCTCTCATACGGCCATAACCATAATATGTGCAACAAAACTTTATAATCTTTGCCTCCAAAGGAACACTCTGGCTGTGCCTTCTCCAAGACATATGTACTTGTTCTTTTGGCAGTATATTCATTACTCTTCTCCAGCACCATAGTTCAAAAGCATCAGTTCTTCTGTCATCCTTACTCATATTCAATTCTCAGATGTTTAGCAGGTTATTGACATCATTGTTCCACAGTAATTTGAAAAAGGTCCTTGACTAGATTTTCCTAGTACAATGTGTCTCCTAACTGCTAGTACCAAGGGTATTGATTATGAATCCAAGTAAGAGGAAGTCATTGACAGTTTCAGTCTTTTCTTCAGTCCAGTAGTGAGGATTTTTGTGTTTATGGTGTTGAGATGCAATCCATTTATTTATAAGGCTATTTTGCTATTCAACAGCAGGTACTTCAAAGTCCTCACTTTCAGCAGGCACGGTTATGTAATCTGCATAATGAAGATTCTTGATGTGTCTTCCTCTAATCCTAATGTCACATTCTTCTTCATAGAGTATAGCTTCTCAAATAATTTGCCTAGCGTACAGATTAAATAGGTATGAAGGAGGGATACAAGCCTAATGCACACATTTCCTAATTTAAAAACTGTAGTATTCCTTTACTCTGTTAGCACAGTAGCCTCTTCGTCTAGGTATCTGTTAAGTGCTCTGGGATTCCCTTTCTCCTCAATTTTAGCTATAACTTGTTACAAACCACGCACAGTTAAATGCCTTTGCATAGTCAATAAAGAATAAATAGACATTCTTCTGGTATTCTTCACTTTTAGTCAGAATAATTTGACATCAGCAGTGATCTCCGTGGTGCACAGCCTCTTCTAAATTCAGCTTGAATGTCTGTCTCTTATCTATATACTATTCTGGCCATTTTTAAATGATCTTCAGCAGTTTTTTTGCTTGTGTATGATAATAATGATTTTTTTTAGATAATTTCCATGTTATTTTGGATCACTTTTTATTGGGAATGAGAACAAATATAAATCTCTTCCACTCAACTGACCAGACAATTATCCTCCCCATTTCTTAGTGAGAATGCCCATGGCTGTGTCTGTCATTTGAAGTATATCAGTGACTGTCCCATTGATTTCTGGGGCCTTATTTTTTTGCCAATGCCTTCAGTACAGCTTGTAAATCTTCCTTTATTACAACTGGCTCTTGATCACATAGTACTTACTGAATTCAGTGTTGTCCAGTTCTTTTTCATACAGTGATCTGAATATTCCTTCCACCTTTTTTTAAAAATTATTTTCTGTTGGTTTGCATATGAAATTTATATGCATTGTGTTTCACACTTTCCTTCATTCATGTTGTTTTTCATACAATCAAGCTCATACATTTTGTTTTATAAACGTAATCGCCATTGAATTATGTCCACCATTACCCCATTTTTTCAAGTCCCTGCTGAATCTTTCTCATTTCCTTTGCTTACTCTCTCTCCTCCTGAATCACTTAAGATTTTGCCCATAGCATCTCGAAGTATTGCAACTTGAGGCTTGAATTTGTTTTTCAGTTTTTGAGCTTGAAAAATGCTAAGCAAGTTCTTCTCTTTTTATTCTATTAAAATACTTTGCTTTGTCTTCCCAAACTTCCTTTTAATATTGTCTCTATCCCTCTTGTTTCAGCATCTTTTCCTTTTGTTCTCGACACTCTAGTGCAATTTTCAGGGTTTTTCCTGACATCCATTTTGGTTTTCAATATCTATCAAAATTCATTTTTAAGGATAAAACTCAAAGTCATTGTTGTCGAGTCAGAACCTACTCATAGCTGTTCTGTCATTGGATTCCCAAGGCTGTTAATTGCCTAAAAAGTTATTGCCCACCTTTCTCCTTTTAGAGCATATATGTCATTTTTTATAGCTACATATAAAAAGTACAGACTTACTTAAATAAGCAACTAATTTTAAATGTATTATACTGAAGAGATTATTTAAAATATTGGTAGTGAAAAATTGTAGAAGCTAATTAAATGTTGTTGTTGATTACTCTTGAGTCAAACACGACTCATAGCAACCCTATGAACAAAAGATCTGAAGCCTTTCTGTAACTATCAGAATGTCCTGTCTTTAGGAAGGAAGCTCTGGTGGCCTAGTGGTAAAGAGCTGCTCTGCCATCCCAAAGTCACATGATTCAGATCCACCAGCTTCTCTGCCAGAGAAAGATGGGCAGTCTCTTCCTGTGCAATCAAACCGCCTCTGCAAACCTGCTGGAGGGTCAGCCTTAAAAGTTGGTTTTGACTAGATGATACACAACAGCAATATCTTTATGAAGCATCTAGTTAATATCTTTCATTTAGCTTTACTTAGCATCTGAGTTAATATAGTAGCAAGAAGTTAGTTATATGCTTATATATATTAATTTTACAGAAAAGGAGAAGGACTTTTTAAATCTGACAACATTTCTACTATATCCATCCTAAAAGATGTGCTGTCTAAAGAAGCTACAAAAAGGAAAATTAACCTCAACATATCATATGGTAAAACGAAGAAAAGAACTAATCATTTTTCCTGCTGTTTGTTTTTGTTACAAGAATGTTTCTGTGACTAACTTTAGTTGTCTTGGCTCAATTCCTTCTAGAGATAAATGAATTATCTGTCAGACATACTTTAAAGCTAATCCACCCAAAATTGGAGTATCAGTTGCTTTTGGCTAAGAAAGTGCAGTTAATTGATGCTTTAAAAGTAAGTTAATCAATGCATTAAAAGTAAGTAAATGTATCATAAACTTAGGATCTTTATTTTATTGTGATAGAATTTCTGAAGTTGTAAATATTTTACTGTTATACTTTTGCTTTGTCGTGTGTTTTTTTTTATTATTTATAAAGGAATTGCAGATTCATGAGGGAAATACAGATTTTTTGATACCAGAATATCGCTGTATTCTAGAAGAGGCAGATCACTTACAGGAAGAATATAAAAAGCAGCCTACACATCTTGAAAGACTCTATGGTTAGTGAACTATTTTCTATCTTTTTTTCCCCAGTCGCTGTTAGCTACTGTAAAACTGGGGTGAAAAAATAGGTAAAGATTGCAGCAGTGGTGAATCAGTAAAAACTAACATTAAAAAAAGACAAACAAACCCTAATTTATAGCATTACTTTCAGCAATATTTCTATATTTTTGCAAGTTAGTTTTTATATTTAAATTTTAATTTAATAATGTTGTCATGTTGTTATGTGCCATCAAATCACTTGCGACTCACAGTGATCCTATATACAATAGCCCTGAAACCTGCTCTATCCTTTGCCAACTTTACTGTCTCTGACACACCTACCCTCCTTACTTCAGTCACTGAATCAATCCATCTCATCGAGGGTCTTCCTCTCTTTCTCTGCCCCTCCACCCTACCAAGCATGACGTCCCTTTCCAAGGACTGGTCCCTCCTTGCCCAAAGTATGTCAGGTGGAGATTCAGAATCCTTGCCTCCAAGGAGAGCCTGGTTTCATCCTCTTTAAGACGGATTTGTCTGTTCTCCTGGCAGTCCATGGTATATTCAATACTCTTCTCCAGCACCACATCTCAAAGGAATCAATAATTCTTCTATCATCCCCAGTCATTGTCCAGCTTTCTGATGCATAGCAAGCAATTGCGAAGACTATGGCCTGGATCAGGTGCACCTTAGTCTCCAGACTGATACCATTGCTCTTCAGTACTCTAGAGAGGTCCCTGACAGCTGACCTTCCCAATGCAATTTGTCTTTTGATTTCCTGGCTCCTATATGTGAAAAATTAAAACAGGAAATACATATACTCTGATTAATTTATATGAAAAAGGAACATGGTATAATGTTAATATATAGTATAAATTGTTAGATTTTAGGACATACTTGACATTTTTAAAGTTTTGTTTTTTGAGCTATTATGAAATACCAAAAAGAAACATTATTTTTAAGGAAAAATAGAATAGGGGCTGTATGTGCGCATGTGTGTGTGTATTGCTTAATGCATATAAAAAACCCTTACTTGTATGATGTTATATAGGTGGTTAATATCTGTTTAGAAATAGCATTTGGAAAAAAAGTAGCATTTGATTGTCTATAATTAATGGTTTTTAACTATTAAGGAGGTTTGCACCTGAATGCTTTTTAGCCTGAACCTTATCTTAAAAATATTCCAAAATACATTGGTTTGTAAACAGCAAACTTTCTAAGAACAGTTGTACATATTATAAAATGGAATTATGTGTCTTTAGAAGAGCATTCTCAGGTAATCACTGTCTTTAAGTTGTTTCATTAAAAGGAGCTAATTGATGACAGTAAACTAACCTTGTTCTTTCTAGGCATGATTACCGATCTCTTCATAGATAAATTCAAGTTCAAAGGCACCAATGTGAAAACCAAAGTACCTTTTCTTCTAGAGATTTTGAACAGTTATGACCAAAATGCACTGATTACTTTCTTTGATGCTGCATGATATTACAGTCAAGGTAAAGTCTCAAAGAAGTCTATTATAAAGGAAAATACTAAAATAATTATAAACTAAGAGTATACATACTTTTACTTTTATTTAAAATACCAGCTTCTACTTTTTATACCAGCTAATACTATTTCAGATCTGACTTTAAGTAATGCTTCTCCCTTTGACAGTTATTGTGTGCTGTGGAGCTGAAATTGACCCATAGCTCCAGTGGGTTTTTAGAGGAAGTTCATCACACAGGAGGAGATTGCCCATCCTCCCACAGAGCAGCTGGCAGATTCAGACCGTGTGTTTTGGGAATTGCAGCATAGCTTGTTACCACTAGGCTCTTGACAGTAGAACTTTTTAAAAAATAACAAGTTTTTTTTTCTTTTTAAAACACAAATGACCATTCTAATTGAAGTCATAATGAATAGTCTCAGATAGAATGATAGAAAAATGTGGAGAACTCAGATTCTCATTTGGCAAAAGACTCAAAAGAACAGAAAGAAGAAAACAGCTAAACTAAAACCATAGAGAACAGAGAACCCCTGAAACACTTTTAAAGCCTAGAACTGAGCCAGTCTCCACATCAGCAGTTGGCAGAATTACACTGGCACACAAAGGCTACTTACTACTCCTAAGATCTGTTTTCTACATTAAAACCTTAAGTATGAGACTAAAGGGTCAATGGAATACAAGTTAAAAAAAATGTTGACACATTGTGATAAATGTTATGTTACACAACAATTTGTGCAGAAAATATTAAGTGGCATAAGTTACTAATAGACTTTTACCACAAAACTCAAATGAATATTATTTTTTTTAAACTCCAAATACACAAATTGAGTAAATACAGAGATTTTCATTAATTCTTTGGCAATTAGATGTTTTTAACTGAAAAATATTTGGAATACCCAAACATATTTAAATGTTTTATAATTTATAAGCTACACAAACATGCAAATTTACTTTGTAGTTTGAAGAATATATTTGGTATTTTTACCTCATTTGGTCTTCACAGCAGTCCTTTGTGTTTGTCTAAGCACATAAGAAAAAACAAATTGTCAGTGAGATCAAATGAGAGGTCATTAATACGACAAGCTATTTATTTGTAAAACAGAGACCAGAACTTAGATTTTTGGCTCCTAATTTGATCTAGATTACAGTGCCTATTGTCAGGAACTGGAAATAACCTCCATTTTTAGGGTTTTTTTTTAAAGAGCTGAGATTGATTTTTGGTGTGGTTTATTTTTCTTGATAACATTTTGTGACCTGTGATGCAGCTTGTGAAATAGTTTATTGTCTTCATTGTTATATACTGTTGTTGTTGTAATGTGCCGTTGAGTCGTTTGCGACTCATAGCAACCGTATGTACAACAGCCCTAAACCCCGCTCTATCCTGTGCCATCCTGTATCGCATTGCCTCTGACACACCCATCTCGATTACCCCAGTCCCTCCTGCGCTGTCCCTCTACTCTACCCAGCATGATGTCCCTCTCCAAAGACCTGTCTCTCCTTGCAACATGTCCAAAGTATGTCAGACGAAGCCTCAGAATCTTTGCCTCCAAGGAGTAGCCTGGTTTAACCCTCTCTAGGATGAATCTGTTTGTTTTCTTGGCAGTCCATGGTACATTCAGTACTCTTCTCCAGCACCACAGCTCAAAGGCGTCAATTCTCCTTCTATCCTCCCTAGTCATTGTCCAGCTTTCTGATGCATAACAAGTAATTGCAAAGACCATGGCCTGTATCAGGTGCACCTTCGTCTCCAAAGAGACACCGTTGCTCTTGAGTACTTTAGAGAGGTCCCTAACAGCAGACTTTCCCATTTTTGATTTCCTGGCTGCTGGTGCCAAGACTGTTGACTGTGGAGCCGAGCAAACTGAAGCTGTGAACAATCTCAATCTCTTCGCCATCCATCCTGATGCTACCATTGGTCCAGTGGTGAGAATTTTTGTCTTCTTGACATTGAGCCTCAGTCCATATTGAAGGCTGCAGTCCTTGACCCTCTGCAGTAAGTGCATGAGGTCCTCCTCAGTTTCAGCGAGCAGGGTTGTGTCATCTGCATAACGCAGATTGTTGATAGATCTTCCACCAATCCTAACGCCACACGTCTCCTCATTGAGTCCAGCCTCTCGGATGATCTGCTCTGCATACAGCTTAAAAAGGTATGGAGATAGGACACATCCTCGGCACACACCCTTCCCAATTTTGAACCATTCAGTGTTGCCTTGCTCTGTTCTGACCACTGCCTCTTGGTCCAAGTACTCAGGGAATTAATTAGGGCTAACACAGGTGGGAAGGATGTGCTGAAAGTAGTAGTGATAGTAAGCAGTACTCAGGAAAAGTGCAAAAAAGAGTGATGGCCTCTTACATTTACCTGCACTGTAACAAACTCACTGCCTTTGAGTGGATTCCAAATCAGCAACCTTTCGTTGTTTTTAGGAGGCTATAAATTGCAACCAGAGGAGATTGCCCATCCTCTTTGGAGTTGCTTGTAGAGTCAAACCTTTAAAAACTTGCAGGCTTTGGATTAGCCATGGGCTGGCTACCAGAGCACTCTTTTCCTGCCCTGCTGTCCTTGATTTCCTTTTTATCACATACGATTTATCAAATAGGATTGTTAATGACCCAGGGTTTTTTGCATTACTCTTAATCTAAATTTACTCATTTTCAGGGGAATATTGTCACTATGAGTTGGAATCCACTCTGTGGCAATGGGTTTCACTTTGTTTTATTGTCTTTAACAGTTTGCTTTACAACATAAAACATTAAAATGGGTTTAACCTCCCCAAACTTTTTTCTAAAAATATTTTCAAGGCCTGAGTCATGAACTTAGAAGAAAATAATAGTACTTCCAAATCATATACCTTTATATTATGTGAAAGTCTCTTTATGTAATAAATATGCTATTGTAAAGGTGCATATTATAGCTGAGTTTTGTTTTAAAAAAGTTATATTGATTTTGCTGTATTTAAAAAAACTTTCATTCTATATGGAACATGTGTATCTCTTGCACTAGAATCTCATTGTTTTGTTAGTTACTTCAGTATGTAAAAAGACTAGGAGAAAATGGATAAAAAATTAAGAATTGTTGATTTGTTATAAACATCAGTAGTTCAAGATGGCATCTTGTATTTTGAGAAAAAATAAAAAGCCTAAGACACAGACTCTGCCTACTATGAATAAACACCTGCATCCTAAAATGGCATTATAGTTTGCCACTTACGTATTACAAGGTGAATAGTGTTAATTTTTTTTAGTAAACATCTTTTTAAATATTTTTAAAAATTTATTGTTATTTTGTGTATGTACCGTCTAATCAGATCTGACTGGTACAGGAGGCAATTGCCCTTCGTTCTCCAGAGACCATCTGGAGGATTCGAACTATGTACCTCAGGGATTACGATTACAGTGCAGTTTCTTGCCACTAGGCCACCAGAGCTCTTTTACAGTGTTAAATGATTTATGCACAATATTTAGCATAATCCTAAAGACAGTCCTGTATCATGTATTATTTCCAGTTAACACGTAATAAAACTGGCGTCATTAAATAACTACTAGGCTAGTTGTGGCCAAGTTAAATTTTGTATCAAGTCACATTATTGGAAGTTCTAGATCTGAAAGCTGGAGAAATCTTCTAATTGTTAAAGTTTAATTCTGTTTTTTATTTTAAAATGAATAGAGATGGCCCTTAAGCCTGAGCACAGGGACCTCCAGGGAATCCAGTTTAAAGTGATTAGAAATGACCCCGCCTCTCTCCCGCCTCCCCCCGCGCGGGCGTTTTTTCTCCCGCCGCCTGTCGACGTTTCTTTCCCCACCCACCCCGGTTCAGTCGCCTTCCGGATCTGCCACACTCGTCTGCGACGACGTCGCGCCGAGTGACGTCACGAGCCCCTGCTACCCTCATTGGTCCATTTCAATAGTCGCGGGATACTTGAACTGCATGAACAAACTCGGCTCCGGCGGGCTGTTCGCTTTATCTTGTACCCGGGTCAGGTGCTCTCCACGTTCTGCAGTGCCAGCCCTTTAGCACCCTTCTGGGCCCTTCACAGCCCCTGCCGGGTGAGCGGGTTGCCGGGCAGGCTGGCTCTGGATGGGCAGGCAGGCGGCCGCGCCTAGAGCATTTCTCGATTGAATCTGCCCGGCCAGTCGACGGGTGGGGTGCACGCTGCTTGGCGCCGCAGGCTGATCCAACCTCTTGCTCTCGGGAGCAGTGATGTTGAGCAACTCCGCGTCAGGGCCTTTGGCCCACGAGGCCGGCTCTGCACAGCTAACGTTGCAGCAGACATCCATGCAAGAAGACCAAGAAAACATCAACCCAGAAAATGTGGCGCTGATCCAGCAACCCCGTACTCGAGCCCGCCTGGCAGTATTGAAGGCGGGGAACTCGCAGGGTCTAGCACCACAGCAGAAGCCGAAGACACGACGGGTAAGGGAAGGGCATGTTATGAGAGGGTGGTCCAGCCGAGGTTCAGGCAGGGGCTTAGCAGCAGAGGAGGGTACAGAGAAAACATCTTTGGAATTTTTAGAGGGGAGTAAGTCAGAGTCCTTTTGGATTCGAGTTTCCTGTAGTAGCTCCTCTCTTTCCATATACCAACACTGCTATCTCCATAGATACTGGAGTGAAACCTAGCCCTGCAACCTGAATGTTGTCTTTGGCTCCGCCTTTTCGCTCACTTTAACCCCCAGGCTTTCTTTAATCCTTGATGTAGGACTAAGCTATAGCTCTCCCCCTCACCAACTAGTTAAGAGTCTTCCCCTAGGGAAAGGAATCAAAAACTTCCTTCCTTTGGTAAATTCAGCCCTTTTAACTGGATTTGCTATGTTGCACCCTAGTATCAACTATAACTGGTGATATTTTTACAACCCTTCTACCTGGACTTTGTGCCTTCGTTTCATTTTCTTGCTAGACAGTTGGGAATAAAAGCAAAAGCTGAGACCCTTAAGGTCAAGGTTTCATTCAGCAGGCTGAAAGACAATTATTTAATCCTTTCTAGGCTGCGCCTCTTAAGGATATTTCTGTAAATGATGAGAATGTGATTGTACCTTCCTGGAAAGCAAACAGCAAACAGCCTCCATTCACCATTCATGTGGATGAAGCAGAAGAAAAGACTCAAAGAAGGCCAGCTGAATCTAAAAAAATTGATCCAGAAGATGCCTTGGCTTTTAATTCAGCTGTTACTTTACCTGGACCAAGAAAACCCCTGGTCTCCCTTGATTGTCCAATGGATGATAGTTTCGGTAAGTTTTAAAGAAAAGATAAGTGAATCCAAGTAATTAATCATTACATAGATTAGGGTTTATATTTGGAGATACTTTATTACTACATAGTTGATTTAATGTAACCATGGGACTTGATCCCATTTCACAGCAAATAAGACTTTAGAAAAGTACTAATGGCCAAATTGGCTGCTCTTTCCAGTACACTACCAATCAAATCCATTTAACTGGATGTAAGTCACATTGAATTTGACTAGAAATGTTTATTTGGTTGGGCAGTAGATTTCAGTTGCATTCATAGGACCGTGAATCAGTTCTTACATACTTCTTGGGAAAATGGAATGTGAGAATATAGTGTTAAATGATGTCGTATTTTAACATTTCTTCCAGCTTTAAAATTTTGTATTTCTGTACTAACCTTCAGAATAATTTAATCCCAGAAAGGGATGTTGTTTCCCTGCGAGTCAGTAGTTCTTTCATGGATGTTTACATATTTATCCTCATACTAGATAAAACAATTGTGTCAGTAGAGCATTTTCTTCTTCTAGGTTATTGAATTACTGAATAGGTCCTTGAATATCATCTCAATTTAGCTGTAATTCTGTTCATTGGGGAGCAGAATAGGAAAGTTCTTTGGAAATAGTTTGTGAATTTTAACTTATACATGAAATAATTTTTTAACTTAAGGATGATAATGTTTGCTAAAGAAGAGTTTAAATTAAAAAATAATTTGTTGTGTTACTTTACCATTTGAACTATCCTTAAATGTAAATTTCTCATTCATATACTTGCTGATGAAAGACATTTATCTCTGCCTCTCAACTAGTTAGGACCAAGTTAATAGCTAACCCTCCAATATGCTTTTGGAAGCTGTAAATCCCACAGAATGATATGCCCATCATCTCACACAGAACCCTAATGGATTTGAACCACCAGACAGGCACTATCCTTGGGTTACAGCACAACACCCTATGGATAACACCACCAGCACTGCCTAATTTCCTTACCTTTAAACCGTTCTGGAGCTCTGGTGGTAAGAAGCTGTTGTGCAATCCCAAAGGTATGTCGGGCAAAGCCACCAGCTGCTCCGCTGGAGGAGGATGGCAATCTCCTGTGAGATTTAATGCCGTTGAAAACCCACTGGGGGTGAGTTATGAGTCAGTTCTGACTGATGGTGTGCAACAATAACTCCCTTAGTGGCTTACTTCATTTTATTTTTCTCTTTTTGTTAATTTTGCTAAAGCAGCTCTTCACCTCACTACCAGACTTCAGAACTGGTGTTATTATTCTTATTGCTTTCCCTGATACAGAAGATCTGTGGCCATTAGTAGCTTCTCTTAACACTGCATTATTAATCTCTACCTAGAATGTGATAGAATCTTGGCCAATACAGCGTAATAAAACAGAGGTTTGCCCCTAATTGTGACTGTAAGAATTGCCATGCAGCAAAGTGAAAGGAACTTACCGTGGCTAGACTTTCAACTTTGCAGTCTGCTGACTGCTGATGTAGAAAGTACTGAGTAAGAAACTGAATTATTGTTGGTGCTGCTAAACCAAAAGCAGGGACCTTCAGAACTAAATGTTCCATTCTCAGAACTTGTTTCTTGGTATAGGTGTCATCTGTAATGTATACAAATTCTGCTACTTCTGGAGGATATATTTCTTCAAGCTTTTTAATTCCAATTCTGAAATTATATCAATAAAACATTCAATTAATCCAAACCCATGCTTTCTATCTATCCAGTGCTTTTTTTTTTTTTGCCTAATTGTACTTGCATCTGTCAGCCTCTACAGTCAGGAGTCTGTTGGGACAAATCCATTTACTTTTGTATTAGAAACCCTTTTAGATTAAAGGAATGCTTTAGTTAATACAGCATTTTTTTACAAGGTCAGTCATCTTGAGCTACTGAATGGAAAATTAAACAATCATATTTTTAAATACCCATAGAGTCACCTCATACAATGGACATGTCAATTGTATTAGAAGACGAAAAACCAGTGAGTGCTAATGAAGTACCAGACTACATTGAAGACATTCACACGTACCTTAGAGAAATGGAGGTAAAATAGCTCTCTGAATCCAGTTTATATACTGTTAGTAAATATGCCTAAATGAAATTGAGAGGATAAAATTTAACTGCATGTGAACTACCATAAGCTGCTTTTCTGTTTTGCGTATATAGCATCTTTCATTAGTTAAAGAATAAACCAGTTGTAACTTTATAACTTTTCTCAATAGGTTAAATGTAAACCTAAAGTGGGTTACATGAAGAAGCAACCAGACATCACTAACAGTATGAGGGCTATCCTTGTGGACTGGTTAGTGGAAGTAGGAGAAGAATATAAGCTACAGAATGAGACGTTGTACTTGGCTGTAAACTACATTGACAGATTCCTTTCATCGATGTCTGTATTGAGAGGAAAACTTCAGCTTGTCGGCACTGCTGCTATGCTTTTAGCCTCGTAAGTCCAATTTAATTTGGAGAGATAAAACTGATGTCTAACAGTTTAGCATTCTGACTACCAGACAAGGCAGAGTTGGTGACTAGTTATGGTTGGTGGGAAAGGGGAGGAAGTGAGCTTAGATTCTAAATTAGAATGTTTATTTTCCTAGATAATGTGTGTCAGGGTACCTCCTTGAGCAGGGAATGGTACATTTTAGTACACTTAAGACTAGATTGTTGTTGATTCTTGCTCATATGAAGTTGATTCCCATTCAGCTTTCTCATTGATGAGTCAGAACCAACTCATAGCTGACCCTTGTTTGTGTTTCTAAGACTGTAAATCACATAGTAGAGTCTCATCTTTCTCCCATGGACTCTGTAAATGAGGAACCTCAAGGAGATGAGTTGGCACAAGTGACCACAACAGTGGACTTGAATATCCCCGAGATTCTGATACCATAGGATAAGGCAAGGTTCAGATCTGTTGTTCAGGATGTTGCTGTGAGTCATAGTTGACTTGATGTCATGTAACAACACATAAAAGTAGAGCTGCCTAATAGTAGAGTTTGAAAGTGTGTTACATCTCCATAAGAGAGTGTCTTCTGGCACAAGTAACCAAAATCAAACATGCCAAGTTGATTCTGACTCATGCTGGTGAACAATGATGTAAACCTTTTCTCCTGTAGATTAACTGGTGAGTTCAGATTGTTAATAGTTGTTCACTTACCCACTTTTCCAGGGCTTTTTGTTCTAGTAAGGTCTATCTTCTACTCATGAAATGTGAAAATTAAGTTTATTATAAAAATTAAAAATGTAAAGCATTTCCCTAATATTTGTAATAACTGAATTTTCAACTGCTTGGTGAAGTGGCATTATTTGCAGGAAATCGCATGCTTCTTATTACTTTCTTTTATTTGTACTATCTCTAAGGGAGCGCTGGTCCTTAATGGTAAGGAATTGTGCTGCCAACCCAAAGGCAGGCAGATCAAACTCACCAGCTGCTCTGCAAGAGAAAAATGGACAGTTTCATCCCATGTGATTTACTGCCTCTGAAAACCAGCAAAATACTACCTAAGGGAGTTCTGGGTAGTCTTGTGGTAATGAACTGTTCTGCCAATCCAGAGTCAGTTCAAATCTATCAGCAGCTCCATAGGAGAAAGATAGGCAGTCTCCTCCCATGCTGTTTCTTGCTTCTGAAAACTGCTGGAGGGTCAGCCATGATTTGGTTCTGACTTGATAGTGTATAACAGCATACTGTCTCAGTTTTTTATTAGGAGGCTTGGGACTCATGATTAGTAACTTAATGCCCAATTTGTGCTAGAGAGACAAGTATCAGTGGAAATTGGGATTGAGTAAAGAGCATGGGTTTTGGGTTCATTTGACATGTTTTATTTATATAATTCAGGATTGAAATGAAAAAGCTTCTGTTTTAGAAAGTTTTAATTACAACTTTTTCTTTGTAGAAAGTTTGAAGAAATATATCCTCCAGAAGTAGCAGAATTTGTATACATTACAGATGACACCTATACCAAGAAACAAGTTCTGAGAATGGAACATT